GGCGGGTCCGAACATCAAAGGCACCGCCGGCCGAGTGCAGGGGGGCGGGGCAGGGACGCCGGGGGCGGGCCCGGCGTTGGGCGGAGCCAAATCGCTCCGCCCCTCCTCTCCCGGGAGAGGTCGGTAGGCGTCCAGTGGGCATAGTCTTAAAGGGCTCGCTCTCCCGGGCGTAATTTGAGTGAGGCGTTGGACAGCCCTGAATAGCATCACTCTTCTCCTGAAATACGGGGACTTTGAAGGATACCTAGATCCCCCGCTTCCTCACCTAGTGATTCCTGCCCTGCGCTCAGGTTTCTCTCCCAGTTGCGGAGGGCTCGAGTCCCCTAGGTTCTTGAGATGGCTAGGAATAGGAGCCAAGTTGAGAACTACGTCTGTGCCCTAGGCTTGGACCTGGGAGCTTCCTAGAGCTTGGGGCTGCTTGGAGGCTGTGCTCCAACCCCGGGCCAGCGGGGTTAGGCCTCCCCAAAGCCCTATTCTCCAGCCCTAAGCCAATCTGGGACCTCTTTCCAGGCTGCCCACTCACAGCACGAACACAAGCATATACTCACACATTTATTGATCGCCTGTTGCATGCGAGGCTTATAACAGTACACATTTGTGAGGGCCTCTCAGCCATGTGGCTGCTCCGGAGGCGTGAACACAGCCAAGAAGACTAGGAGGAAGGATCCTCTGCCGCCCCATGGGGATCCTCCAGTCACTCCTAACCCCTCCCACAACTCTCCCAGCTCAAGTTCCATTCCTAGAACCCTCGGCTCTAGGATGCCACGCTTTGGGTGGCCACGTGGGCTGCGGGATTCGGATGAGGGGTGGGTGGTATGAAGCAAACTAACAAGTGAGGTCGGGGACCCTCGGAGCCCACTGACTCCCAGCTTGGCTCAGGCCGGCCCTCATAAGATCCAGGCTGCAGGATCTATAGCCGGAGAAGCCTGAGACCATGTGCCAGCTTCCACTGCATCTGCAAGGCACCCGGGGCCAAGTCCACGTGGGCCTCCACATCACGCTTGGCCTCAGCTCAGTCACTGAGTCTAGGAAAGACACCGGCCCCTTTGGATCGCGGTACAGCTAACCGCAGCCCACAGCAGGTTTCCGTGTTGGATTCAGTATAGACATTCCCACTTCTCCGTAGAGCAATTAGGGCAGAGCGTATCTGGAAAGGGAGTGTATCTTGTACACTTCTCAGGCTCAGAGCCGCACAGGACCCCTGGCTGCGGAACAAAGCCGGGCCGGAAGCGGGCCACGCCGCCCCTCTGGGTCCAGGCTCAGCCGGGCTGGCTGCGGATCAAAGGGCCAGGGCCGTCTCTTAGGCGGTCAGATCCTATCTACGCCCGCCCAGCGGGCGGCCTCTGCGCCCCACCTCAGGGCTAGAGCGCCCTCTTTTCCTCCCTTCCGGGGGCTAGAGGTTGGCGGGGGGGGCACCAATGCTCTGTATGACGATGGAGATGTGGGGAAGACTCTGCCTATTAGGTGCCCCCAGTCTCCTTTCTTGGTGTGAGCTCGCTGTTCAGTCTTACCTCAGTCCCTCTAGAGTGGGAGGAGGGGCTCCTGCTAAGAGTGGCCCAGTCCCGAGGGAAGAGAGTGCAGGAGGAGGGGCCCACCTAAACAGCTGAGGTTATAAGGTCTGGCTTCCGGATGAGCTTCCTATGGGAAAGCTGAGAGGGAATACGGATCTGCCTAATCCGAAGGCTTTGGGGTCCTGCTTTTGAGAGTAACCCCAGCTTAGCAGGAGCCTCCTCCAGGACGAAAGTCCCCAGACCCATGAAGTTCCAGTGGACACAAGCCAGCGAGGTTTCTCCAGTCCATGGAGAAAGGAGAAAAGTCAGGGCAACAGTGAGGGGGTTTGTTTTTCTCAAGAAGGCTAAATTTTTTCAGTTTAAAAAGTATTAGCCTTTAATCACAGATTATGAACTTTCTGCTTTATTAGTGTGAAAACAGCCTTTTTTTTTTTTTTAACTACCATGATGGTGAGAATTGATTTTTTTTTTTTTTAATGTCCTTATTTGGCAAAAGAAAAACTTGGTCACTCTCTATTCACTCTCTCACCCTTAAATTTCTTTGAACATTTTATAGGGTTTTGAAATCTTAAGGTCTGGGAGCCACTGCCCTATGGGGTCATGGCTCCAGCCTCTAGCCCAGCTGGGTGGAACCAGGGAAGGGGGCAGGTGAGTAGAGAGAATAGGAGTGTGAAGAGGGATGAGGGAGGGAGAAAGAGGCTGAGTCTCAGACATCCACAGCCACAGTGAAATCAGCCTAAAAGCCCGCTGAGGGAGCATCTACTGTGTATCTAACCCTGGGCTCAGGCTATGGAGAGGGAAGAGGAAGAAAAGGCCACTCCAGGAGGCACTGGCTGCTTGAGAAGCTGAGAAATTATTGGAGCCCAGTTTGTTGCTGGATTTGTCCATACAGACCATGGGCAGAAGGAGCTCTGATATGGTGAGATCAATGGGGCTGGAGTGGTCAAGTTGGCTTCCTGGAGGAGGCAGACTTTATCTGAGCATGGAAGGCTCTAGGGTTTGGAGAGATAGGAAAAGGAGTTCAGGCTTGTCCTCAAAAGGCAGGTACAGCTCTGCAGCAGCCCCTTGTCTGGTTAGCCCTGATTCCATCATCATCATCCACACAATGATTTCGTATTACTGAATGATTGCTCTGTACCATGTCAAAAGCTTCACACACATCTCATTTAATCATCATACCAATCCTATGACATGGGTTTTATTATCCTCATTTATGAATGAAGGAACTAAAGCTCAGAGAGGATAAATAAGTCACCCAAGTTCTCACAGTTTGGAAATGAAGGTATCCGAATTCCAAACCCAGGAAGTCTGACTCCTGAGCCTGCACTCTAACTATTACACTGTAGAGTTCCATTATGACCTCTACAATTTCAGAGGGAGGTCTTATCTACTTTGTGGACTTTGCAGACAAATGCCGATGAGTGAGCTGTCACTAATAGAGTTCTGACTTTCTGGGTGGCCCATGCTGTGAGGAAGGGCCACCAGGAGGACTGGGATATCTCCCTGGTGGTCCATATAGGGTGGCTTAAGCTCTTTGCTGGGTAAGAGGGCCCAGAGCATCTCCCTTGAGTCAGACCAAGCTCAGTCTGTACCATCTCTTCCCTGGGCCCCACCCTGGACTGCCTGCTCTGAGTACTGACTCAGATCATATACGGAGACAATAGACCTTGGGGTTCTTCCATGGGATGGTGAGTAAGGTCTGCTGTGGCTGCCCCCCCCCGGAGGTGACCAGGGAGTTTTGGGACCAGGGCCAGCTGCAGGAAGGCCCCAGAGTCTTTTGGACTTATGTAGCCCAGGTCAGAGCTGGAGATTTAATGAGGCTCCATCTTCATGCAAATTAACCAGGTAGATATATGTGCTGTCCTCAGATGCTGGACACAGCCCAGAGAACTTGCGAGGTTGAGGATTGGAGCAAGAGAGCTCTGGCTTTGGATTTAGGCACCCCTGAGATTTCCTCCCTGCCCTACCATTAACCAGCTGGGGGACTCCAGACAAATCACTGACCCTCTCTGAGGCTCAACTTCCTTTTGGGTAAAATGGGTATCACACCGAACATTCCTCACACTGTGAGAGCGAGGTTGAGATGAATCATGTATCCTAAGAAAGAGCTTAGCACAACGCCTGGCACATTCCAAGTGCTCTAATAAATGGGTGCTCTTGAGGTAGAAATTTTTCGGAAGTTGTTAGGCTAATTGGCTCTTCATGTAACGTCATGTAAATCATCTAAGTGTTCTCATGGCCTGAGCCCACTTAATCACAGCTAAGGCTGAAAATATACATTTCCTTTCCTTTTCTTTCAAGTTCCTTTAACATGAAAGGCCCACGCGAACTCTGACCTTTTCTAACAGGGAGACCCTTGAAATGCAGCATTTCCAGAAAACAACTCAAAGGAGCCA